GGATGCCACCTTAACTTAGAAATCATTCCAAACCCAACCCCACCAGCCCCCTACACAAGATCTTGCGCAATATCTGTGCAGAAATAAAAATAACCTAATAATAACAGAGTGGTATACCCCAATGCTATCACCGACCTCTGACGACGAACTAGAGTGATAATCTATGACCACTACCCCAGCCACCCGAGAGACCGAAAGGGCAGAATACTCGTAGGGGAGAAGGACAAAAATAGAAAGAGGGAAAAAAAAACCAACAAACCGGCACTTTAGAGAAAGTTTAACCCCGCTCTCTCGCTACGATCTTACTAGAGTAGTTTATGTTCCAGACACTTGCCTTACCGGTTCTGTATTTCATGATCTGCAGTTATCCTCACCGCAGTCTTGCAGTGGTTAATTGTACAGTACAGTACTAGTGCACTCCCCCGAGCCATCCTCAAAGTTCGTACGCCGGCAACTATGATATGTACGAGTAATAGTACGAGTACATGGCGATAAAGTAACTCGACAGCCATCACCAAGAACTGAACCCAGGATCGCAAAACCAACCACAGCATCCACCTCTCCTCTTCCCGCCGCATCATGTACTACCTAAATTAACGTGCTCACGCGTGCATATCCAACCACTGAACCGTAGAGTTACTTTGAGTAGAATTCACTCTTGTACAGTACACAGAACCCCCCACCCTCTCTCGCCAAGACAAGACCCCTTTCCCCCCTTCCCAAAGCAGAAAAAGAAAAAAAGAAGAAAAAAACCTAATCCAACCTCCCCCTTCTTTCCCCTCCCCTCGCGTGACACCCCCAACAAACCATCTCCAAAAAAAAAACAAAAAACAGAAGAAAAAAAGACGCGCAACGCAGGGTCCAAGAAACTAAAACTACTCGAGTACAGTACAGCACGGTTACCGCTCGTAACTGTACGAGTACTAGCAGTGCAGTAGCGCACGCTTATAATAGCATTCCGCACGGGGGATCACTCGCAGGTAGTGGTTTAATTGGTGCTTTCGTGAGCACGGTATACGGTGGTTAAAGTTAGTTAAGCAACACAGTAAGACGGGAGCTAACTAAGCACATTGGAGGTCTTGCCGCGGATGGTTTTTTCTATTATGATGGGCGAGCGCGATTGGTTCGGGACACGGTAGAGGATTGGTGGAAATCGAACGAGTACAGTAGCTATGTTAAGATCGCGCACGGTTGGGTCTATCATTATTAAATTTTAATTTCCCGGAGGTTATTTTGAATTGACCACCGGGTACGGTAAGAGGGCAATCATCTTTGTCGTTATTCTCGGTTGTGGGGAATTTACGGGGTTAGGGTTGGATATTAATAGTTGTGTGACAAGGAAGGGAACACCGCTATCGCGGGAGGGAAACGAGGGGGGGAATGTTTGGGAGACCGGTTTGTTTCGTTCCGCTTGGTGTGTTATTGGTTGGGAATGGTAGTGGTAGTTATCTTATAGGTAATACACGAGTAGATCTGCTAAGATATGTGTTGAACAGTGCGCATTTCAGTATCATAGACGATAAGGTGGATAGGGGCATCAAACAGTGGTACAGTAGCAGCAGTAGCTTTGACACACGATACTATTCGACGCCGTAAACATTAGTCTCATCCATTTACTATCTTAATAGTGCTACCGTAGTATACCATTGTCCTGACTTATCAGGCCTCGCCCCGTTTTATCCCACAGTGGGAACACAGTACGATACCGTCCACCGTGTCGTACTACGAGCACAAAAAAAAACATCACTTACCGGTACCGTACCCTTTCTCGCATCAAATTCACACATTCACACGTTCGCACTCCCCCCCCCCTACCGTGACACTTCCGACTTCACAAACGTGCAATGCAACAAACCCTAGAGGGATAAAAAGAAACACCCCCCATCCATCGCCGTCTCACGCATGTGCGAGTAGCCCTACCCGTCCATTTCGCCACCCCCCCCGTACAGTACTCGTACAGTATCATACGTGTTGTTCTACGCTGTGGGGCGTACTGTACATGAGGCTCTTGCCACCTGACAGCAACGGCGACAGCATCTACCCCAGCTCGATCCGTACAGTAAGGTAAATATGGAAGACTAGGCTGCGATACCTCCACATAGTAATTAATTGCAAAGTAGCAAAATTCGAAGGTCCCGATCCCCGGCGAAGTGGTTCCAAAATGGAGCTCAAAAAAATAGAAAATAGTGAAGAGTAAGCGAGGTCGGTCGGTCGGGATATCATGCTAGCCAGGGGACTGCAAGAGAAGAGGAGGCGCACGAATGGTATGGGGGGGTTAAAGACGCTCGTTGTGCCAGGTGCTCTGGCTGGTTGGCCCGGACGTATGTCGGGTATTGCGGGTAGTCTGTTCCGCGTTGCACTGTGGGCAGGTTATTGAGCGAGGTGGGAATTCAGGTATGCCGCGGGGATAATGCCATCATGAACCATCAGTAAGGGGGAAGGGAGCAAGGCTCCGCTGCAAAATTGTAGATACTAACTTGGGTGCATACGGGTACTCGAGTATAGCAAAACTGTCCTCACCGGTCTCCTTCACCTTACCTCTTTGCCCTAAGAGCTAAAGGGGTTCGGGATCGGGCTGGCACATGAGTGAGGGGAAGTGATTCATGCTAGGAGATTGGATCGGGAGGTCGCCCTGCGGTGCTGTATCGTACTTGCGGGGCCAGTCTTCCAAGTACCGAATGATAATCAAGCAATCCCCGCTGAGCTTCAGGGAAGAACTTCCTATCCCACCGATTCATTCGGGGGAAAGATAAAAAAAGGATTTCAATCGCCGAAACCACCATGATCTAGGATCCCGAGGTTATGATGGTTACAGTGTGAGGGAGTTTATTATTCATCCGAGCAGGAAGGAAGGCAATGTCAGATTCTAGAACCTAGAGTTCCAAACGAGGAGGAGAAATCCTATCATCTAAGTTACTCGAGTATAGTACTCCGTTTCGTTTTCACCGTTTCTCCTTTCCCTCCCCTTCCCCTGCTCCCTTCCCCTATCCCGCCTTGGCACTATCAAACGCCCAGACCTCCTCCTCCAGCACGGGTGGTATCAGGGATATCGTGGTTACGCCTTTGGGGCCCTAAACCCAATTCCACGCTAGAATAGCATATCAGCAATCTACTCGTAAACCGCACCAAAAACCCAGCAAAGACTATCCCGTGCCACCACCGCTGTTAGGTCCGGCTTGCTTGGGCTTCGTGCAAGTATGATAAGGGTAACCCTGTTCGCAAGGTACTTGTAGTGCCATATTGGTGACCGTTTCCTGGGATGGATGCCACGCACACGATGCATCATGAGGAAGCTGAAAGCGTGGTAAATGTCTGTGCTTCTCGCTGTGACATCAAACGTGCTCAGTGGCTTCTGATAAACGTTTTTTTTTTAATTTTGCACGTAGGATACCGTGGTTACCGCACGATGACTGCTCAGTTCTCTCCCTTTCACTACCGTGCTCGAGCAATGTAGTTTGGCGGGGACACCGTTTGTGGAAGCTCGGAGCATACCCGCCCCAGCCACTGCGCACAAAATCTTCACATATTCTCACCTTCCACAGCCACTGTTGACTCGTCATTGCATTCACCACAGTCGTATCCTTTTTTTATTCCCTCTCCTGCTCCTAGGGGTTTGGAGCTCCGGCGTACTGTAGAGGAGGGCAGGCAAGAACTACCATACCAATGAAACGATCACATACTCTAAAACACAATGACACGACCCTCAGCACCAAAATCCACCCGAACACTTGGTGGTTTAGGGTTTGTTTCAGAGCCTGCCCCTATTTACCATAACACGCAATTAAGCTGCGGAGCTTAGTCAACTCGGCGGACTCACCAGCAGAAGAAATATCATTACTTGACAATGTGTCCTTGGTGTTTAATTCTTATATTATTATTATTTTTTTGGTATTTCTTTCCGGTTAGGTTAGGTCGTTCGAATCTTGGCTGTTGGTCCCTTTCCCCGTGAGACGGCGATGGGAGCAAAAAACACGGGTTCTCGCAAAGATCTGCGGATCTCGAACTCGGGGGGACCGACTATCACTTCGTTGAGCATGGGAAAGAGTATGGTTTTTACAAGTATGTATAAAAATAGGTGTGTGAGGTTTTTACAATAAGGTCTGCAGATAGTATGGTAGGCTAGTTGTATTGCAAGTATTATTGTGGGGAGTAAAGTGAAAAGTACGGGGTATGATACATGGCGTGCTTTACAAAAATAGGTGCTTATCCAGGTCAACAGCGCTACAGCACAATTCATACCAACCAATGGTTCCCCTTTTTCCTTCCTCCTAACAATAATACGCAACTCTGTTACCGTACTGGGAAATTTGTAGATATATATAATAAGATCCGTTCACTTGATCGGGGATGAACGACCGAGCCGGGGGTGGTCGGTCCAGTTAAAATACTTTGTGGCGGGCAATTACCGTGAGAATTCTTGGAATCCACCATCTCAGTCAGAACCTTGTGATCTCCGGATTCAGAGACCAAACCCCCGAGAGGTATTAGTGTTTTCCCGATATAGTAAAATATCAGGATATCGTTGGATTTCCTTAACAGGTATTTTCGATTCTATTAATCTGTCATACTAAACCTATCTTGGGGGGGGGGGGGGGCGGGCGGATTGAGCAGTTGGATTTCAAGAGTGTTTACGATGCGCCTCCCTCCTATCCAACCTATTTTCTTCTTTTTCGCCACTGTTTCTCCACAAACCTAACCGAGGGCGAAAAGGTGGGTTCAACCACGAGGGTATCGCTGATTGGTGAGAAAGGGTTGGGGGGTCCCAACCCTTTTTAACTCGTTGGAGACTAAATATACCCTTTCACCCCTGCGCGGATCTTAAAACAGCAACGGGCAAGAATAGGCGTGTGGGTGTTTTTAGCTTAGCGGGAGAAGAAGGTGTGGAGGTTTTTTTTTAAAAAAAAGCAAAAGAAAGGGAAAGGGGGGGAGAAATAATTGCAGATACTTGAATACATAAGGGCGTTGAGATCCCTAGATCTGGTAAGTCATCAAACGGACAAGTCTTCAGTTCTTTTGTCGAGGATAATAAAGGTTCTACTTTTTACCTTCTTGGTTCATTGTTTTTATTTGCTTTTGCATTTATTTGGTAAAAGGCTCGGGAGCTTGACACTACCACCACTGCTACTTCTATTACCACTACTACTTCGTACAACAAGCATCCTACTACCACCGCATAACCACAGAACCGCAATCAAAATGCTCGCAATCCAGTTCCCCTCGTCGCCCATAGACGCAAGAACACCCAGCCCACCTACCTCTTTCCACGCGGACTACTACACATCAGCGCCCCTCCTCGCACCACCTCCAGTCAACAAGCGCCGGGCCGGGCCTCCAAAGCTTTCACTCCAGATCACCAGCGAGACCCGTAGAACCTTCTCCAAGTCCTCCATCCCACCGGTCTCTGCCGGCCCACTGTCGCCGACTTCGCTCTCCACCCAGCGCAACACGCAATTCAACGCGCGCCGTGACTCCGCTCCGACAAGTTTCTCCGCTGCTCCGATCGAACAGGCCTCTTCGCGGACGAATGGCAGCAACAAGAAGAGGAGAATGGGCGCGCGAACGGTCGGGTTCGCCGAAGGCGTCGAGGTGATTGGGTATTCCGTACGATGGGAAGACAAGCAGCCGCAGCGGGTTGAGGAGGAGAGTTCCTCGAGTAGCAGCAGTGAGGACGATGAGGAGGAGGTTAGGGCGCGAAAGGTTGGAGGGAACTTGAGAGGGTTGGAGCAGATGGAGGCGTTGAAGCTCGGACGAGGCTCATCGAGGGGATATAATTGGAGGATGAAGATGTTGAACTCCAGGTCTTCCATTCCCACCACTACAGATGAGGTTACAGAGCCTATGTCTGCGACTCTGGGTACAAGTACCGGCGGGGTAGGGTTTGGATTTGGGAGTGGGATCGGGAGGTTTTCGTGATTATATTGTGACGGGGATTTGAGATTTTCGTTCCTTCATCCTTCTTCCATGATAGGGATTTTCTTTCTTGCTTCCGCTTCGATTCTATGTATATTTTGATACATTCCTTATTTACTTTCTTTTTGTCTTTTTTTTTTTTTTCGGGGGAGACTCTTTTATCCTTACTTATACAAACTTCATTTCACCTACTTTGCCACATTTCCTCTTCGCTTTTACAAATTTTCTCATATTGCCATCTTACTATGATACTTGACAATATTTTTTATTTTCCTTCGCTCTCTTCTTCCTATAAGATACCATCATATCTTATACTGGTAGCCATAAACCGTGTTTATCATTCAAATAAATAATTGAGAGAACCCTCCGCAAAAAAATGACCTCCCAACTATTCCAGCGCTTGATCCCCGCGCAAATTCGTTTCATATGAAGCTCTGGCCCCCGGCGAATTAGAACACAAGTAAGTGAATAAAAAAATAAAAAAAAAAGAGAGAAGAAGTGAAATCTCCAAAACCCCACAGAAAAGGTCGCTAGTTTTGGCTGTTAGGTGATCCAACCACTCGCGCACTTGTATGGTACCGTACTTGCTTTTAACTATGATACATGCTGGCTCTTCCATACCGTGACATTTCCACACCGCACTGTGCACGACATTAGACTATCATGCCATAGCGTACCGAGTACAGTACAGCAGCAAACAGGAATAATGCCTCGATACGGCTATCTTCCCTCTCCTCTTCCTCTCTCTCTCTCTCTACTCGAGTACCATTCAGCCTGCCGACGGCGCCGCTGGAGAAACACGACCGCACCCCTCGCATACCGCATATTTCCGAGCAGGAAGGGGTGGCCGGGGTTTAGCGGTGTGCAATAACGGTCGTGTTCACAAGTGTCAAAAACTCACAAACGAGTGGGTTTAAAAAAGGCCGCTCACGTTTGCAAGCACTCGAGCGAGTGAAGTTATACCACTATCAGCCACGATGAACTACGGTACGCTACAAACTAATCATAGCTCACGCCTACCTATCGCCATCCTCACCATCATCATCGCCACCACGCCTAGCCAATCCCTCACCACTTTTTTCCTTCACTTCCCCGCCCCGTGAATGAATGAAGTGCACTTCCCTCTCACTCAATCATTCATTCCCACTCTTCTACTCGAACCTTAGAATAGATATATAAAAAAAAAAAACCCCCAGGCTGAAACGGAAGAGTGGGAGGAAAGCTAGCCATACACCTACCCACCACCGGAAAAGGGGAAAAAGGGAAAAAAGTGAAGCGTGATGAAGTCAAGATGCATCCGCCGCGCTACGCTGCATCACTTTTATAAACGTGTCCGGTCGTGAATTCTTCACGTCGTCGTCAATGACGATGTTGATGAAAGTGAGGAAGAGGAGAAAGCAGAAAAAAAGAAGACACGAGGTTTTCTTTTTTTCTTTTCTTTCCTTTCCTTTCCTTTCTTCCCTTTTTTTTTTTCCTTCACTTTTTGTTCCATTCTATTTTCTACTCGTATTCTGGTTCGCGCCTGGTGGAAATATATCCGCGAATCGTAAAAAATGGTTTTTTTCTTCTTCCTTTTCTTTTCTTTTCCGTCCGAGCACGCGGGCATGCATGCATGCATGCATGCATTGACCAGCGGTGCTGTGGGAACCGAACCGCGCTGCGAGTTGGTCCTGGTGCGAAACTCGGTTTTGATTGGGGCAGCTTAAACGCGAGGGCGGTTTGGTACTCTAGGGTACTGTACTCGAGTATGTGTGGTCGAAGGGGTTTGGTTGGTTGGTTAAAAACAGCCCTCGTTGGAGTACTGTACTGTACTGTACGTGTACGGTACTTGTATGATACTGCACAGTGGGGAACGGGATGGTGCAAGTACTGTACTCGTACAGTACATAAGCCTATCTACTCGTGCTGGTGCGGTCCATTCGAACCTTTCGCTTCGGGGGGTTCGCGATATTAATTGGTTGATTGATTTGGCTTCAAGTACCGGTACGAGTACTGTACTACCATAGGCACGGGGGTTGATTCGTTGGTTGGATTGACTTTAACATCGCGTAGACTACTCGAGTACGGTGCCCACGCTACTACTTACTACCGGTATACCCCACCGTAGTGCCCCTCTCTTCTCGGTGCGGCCAGTCGGGAGAGAGGCGAGGACGCATTGATAAGGCCATGTACCTGTGGTGGCGGCGGCGGCAGTGGTGTTTGGGGTGGGGTAAATACTATCGTGCTACTCTATCCCTCATATCATGCTTCCCGGGCAGTTGTTGGTGATGTAGGAATGTTGTTCTCCATTTAGACTCTCTGGCATAGGCTCTGCAACCCGGGAACGATAACTCGAGCAACTAACTGCCCGCAGAGGACTACCAGTACCAGTACCTACCCGTGCATAGGCTACGACGGTACTTGCGCTGAGTGAACTCGCCTGGCTGCCAGGGTTACATATAGCTACAGCATCATACAGGCACAGTACTGTACTCGCACAAGTACAATTGGACGGCTTGGTGGCCGGCCTCGTTGCGTCGCTGTTATCATATTTACCTAGAACTGGGCGCGCCGGCAAGTTACGTCCGGGTAGGAAAAAAACCCCGTGATGTCGAATCCCGGATCTAACTCAGTTTACCCGTGCACGCCTCTGGATGAGATGGGGGATGGATGGACGGAATGTGGCGAGAATTGGGAAGTTGACGCTATCGATCACCGATCAATCAATCGCGGGTTTGTATAGTAGTAGGTAGGTAGGCAAGGCGTGGTTGATGATCAGGGAAATGCAAAAGTTTTTGGCGATGGGGTGTGGTGTGTGTGGGTGTTGATGATTTGCTAAATTTGTCCCCGACCTTTCTGGGAGCCATCGATCGACAATATTCCCCCCCCCTTCTCGGGTCACTCCTTAATAAGGCGGGCGTTAACTCATCTTTCGTAGTGGGGAAGGGATTTGCGACCGTGGTCATGGTGTGTCACTCTGTCTTGGCTGGGTTTTGGGAAGAGGAATGTTGATCTACGTACGAGTATCATACTTCTCGAGGTCGGCACTGTACCAGTACTCGTACACTTGACGATGCTCAGGGGAAACTACCGGATGGTCGAGCCGAGGAATATAAATACATTCTGATTTACAAAAGGCTACGGAAGACTATCGTAATTTGTTATTATTATTAGATTCTCGCGAGAAGTACAAGTATATAACACAATGCACTCCCAAGACATACCCCCTCACAGGTCCCCCACCGTCAAAAACTACCCCCCCCGCGCAATTTCCGTCAGCATGATGGTGCGGTCCAGTATGATACATCCCCCACTGATCCAACAGAATCGCCAAGCTGATTAGGTACTCGAGTGGATAGGGAATCAACCCCTTTTGTCGGACACCCACCAGCTCATTTGTGGTACAAGTGCCATGGGTGAAGTCTTCGCACACACCAAAGTGGCTTGCCAGCAAAAAAATGGTAAAAATTGGTGAGGTCACCAAGTAGTGTGTGCGAAAACATACCCGATGGCAACTGTACAAGTACTGTACCAAATATCAGTGAATAAATAAATAAATAAATAAACCCTCCCCCCTTACTTGCTTACTCACCGCCTGTACTCGTACCTACTTGCTTCACTCCACCTCTATGCGCTCTATGTTGCCCCGTCGTATCAACCTGCCTTCCGGCAAGTGCAAGCACGAGTACTGTACACCCACGATACCAATCACGTGCCGTCCCAGGCGCCGGGTCATCCGGGTGGTTAGGACCGGGTATAGTTGCACAGGGTGAATTGAACGTGGTCAGCAAGGGAGATACAGATTTCGAGCGTTGCGAGTGGGTAAATGGTTGCCACTGTCATGCCATGGTGGGTAGGAGGGACCGAAGGAAGGAAGGAAATTGCTGCTTTTGCGGGTTTTTGCCGGTGGCGGTGCACAACTGTGCTGCGCCATAGTGCGGGTACGATACTAGCACTACCGTATGTACCGATTTATGGGGTATCATACGTAAGTTGACGCGTGGAAGTGTGGCTGGAGGCGACCCGATGGTGGGGTGTTCGGAAGGCTTTCGGTAGTGGGGAGTGAGCGGTGTGGGGCCGTAGACTAGTGCATGACCCGGTCGGTCGGTCGGTCGATGGGGAATATGGTTCTGTGCGTACAAGTACTTGCCGTTCGCCTGGGATGGGGCGGATCTGGGAGCCCGGGGAGGGGATCACGGGATGCGGTAAGGTGGGGTGTCGTTGCGGAGCCCGATGGTGGTTTGGGGGTATGGCATATAGGAATGGAAAAAGCGGAGATTGAAGAGCCCTGGGGTAGGGAAAAGGTTGGGGGGAAAGCTGATAAGGATAGGTGGGGTCGGGTGGTGGTGGTTCTCAATCGCTACTCCCCACTCGGATGTTTTTGTTGAACGAATGTTGCAACCTAAAAAACATCTATATTGAGTACCGCATATTGAATGTGTGTGTGCGTAGAGGGGAAGGTATAGTGAAGGGAACTTGTTGTGAAAGACCTACCGATCGTCCACTAAGAATAGTCGTGGCCTCCAATGAGGTGCCGCAATAGTAGGAGCATCTTGGTCAGCGGTGTTTGGGCAACGTTGATTGCTGCGCCAGAACGATCCTCTTTTTTTTGTCGTGAGAAAGGATTTCCGTTGTCCAGAGCTGGCCAGGTTGTGGGATAATCTCCCATTTGGGGCAGGGAATTGGGAGGTGGGGAATTTCGCAATAAGGCCTACTTTAGGGATCCCCGTTTAAGGAGGAGGGTGAAGGAGAAGGGAAGAAAGTCCGGGGGTACCACATATAGCAATGTTGTACTATTGCTGTTGCATTATGCCTTTCAATAAAAGTAAGGTAAATCGAGAGTAAAAGGAATACCATGGATTGAGGTATAGATGGGTTTGGCAACACAACCGATAAACAGGGTGGTGATAATGTTGCCTCCAATAGATATGTTCTCCTTTCCTAGAATATGGGAATTGTAAGGCGCAAAGTACGGGGAACAAGATACAGTGGGCTACAGAGTCATATATTTATTGACGAGTAGACTGCAATTCTACTGCTGTGGTGGTTGTTCCCCGGCCTCCAAGAAACCCAATCTTTTACGCTGGTTCTTGTGACTTGAGCCGGCGGAATGCTCACTACTACCTCGCGCTTGTCGAACTATGGTGAACTGAGCTTGCCTCTTCAGTCTATTTCTTATCGAAGTCGGTGAAGTAACAAGTTATTGTGAGGGCAAGTGAGTTCCCCGTTTTTATCCTTTCTCA